CCGGATTGATATTTCGCATTTGACTCACAAGAACTTGTGGTTAGTGGTGTGGGATAATTGGCTTTTATTGATTTGAGGGTCTCCTTTTCAATGCAAACCATGATGTATTGCAGAGAAAAGTTTTATCCCCTTTTTCGTTTTACCTTTACATTCAGAACTTACCAATCATCCCAACTGTTTTTACATGTAAATATGCCAATGACGTAGTGGTTGGTGGTGCATCCAACCACAACCCTTCAGTCAGTCGTAAGTTCTATTTCTGAATGTTGCGATGGTGTTAATCCCGCATTAAACCCTAATAAATGCATCGAAGTTTTATTTTCCAACGATCACCGGCCATCAAGACTTCGAATCTTCTGTTTCCAACAGCTTAAATGTTGAAAGGTCAAGAAAACTTCAATACCTCGGATGTTCTTCGTCTTGAGTGGTCCTACCACGTAGAACAAACTTTCCTCAAAGTCAGAAAGTTGACGTTTTACGTTTCACGCCAGAGGGTACTGTTTTGTGTTATTTCTAAATTTATTTTCTCGTGTGTTTGATGCTATTGGACCTACCGCTCCCCCGATATCCTCCCCAGTGTATTGTCCAAGGTTTTCATATTGATCAGACGTTCTCTGAAAAGCAAATCTAGATACGGAGCTGCCCCTTATGTGGCGCTGGTCGACTCAATTGTCAACCAACACCTTAATGCGTGTAACCGTCTGTATGACTTAATTTTGTCTCATGCATCACATCATTTATTCTCAACCTTCACTCGCTCTATTTACTTTTCTATCATCCGTAATCAATGTAAACCCTTATATACTCGTACCACAGCTTTTCGCAATTCTGGTGTAGCTTATCTTTCTGTTTTATTGATTTCCATGGAATGAATATCAAACGAACTGTTACATAACCGTATGTAAATTTTTATGCTGCAATTCCCTACTTCTGCTACGCGTTTTCGCTCCTCTGGTTGCTCTTCGAACTCCTCCATCCATCAACAGTAGAAGGAAATAGAGAGACTATCCTTGTTTTTCCAACGAAGCCGTCGCCCACATTTTGATCACATCCTCCATCGATCACAAGTAGTACTTACATGGTTTTGGAGTTAACAAAACTCCTGGGCTCAGTATGGGCAAAGTAACAAGTTCCAACTGAATGGTGTGAATCGGTGATCATACCGATTTACAAGAAAAGTGACAGCTCCTCCTGTGAAAACCACAGAGGAATTAGTTTAATCAATATTGCCTCTAAACTTCTCGCCGGTATCATACCCCGTCGATTGTCTGCCGCACGTGAACGGTGTACGCGTGAGAACCAGGCCGGTTTCAGACCTGGTCGAGACTGTATTGACCACATCTTCACACTCCGTCAAATTCTAGAACATAGACACTCCTTTCGTAGACCCACCATTTTTA